TTGAGTTATATGACTCACAGTGAGAAGAGTTGCTGTAGACCATAACCCGAATGAGTGAAGCTCAGCTGGTCTTGCTGGCCTACATTTCTAAGGTAGTGTATATGCTGAAAATTTCACATGCCTAGTCCTAAGAATATCTGATGAGGGGAAACCTTTCCAAGTGTTAAATCGCTTTTCGATCGAGATGATGTTTATTTGATAAGTGCTTGAGAGTAATAGAGAAGTTTAGAATGGTTCGGTTTTCCGGACCTTCGTTCTTAAGATATCGAAATTTTATTGGATTTTTCAACAAAAAACAATGGTTCTCTTTAGATTACATGGAAATTGGTTGTTAAGTTTCGACTTCAACCGTTGCACGAACAAAGTTCTTAATGATATTAGTTGGTTGTGCAAGTTTTAGCTTTTATCTTAGGATAGGAGATACTTAAAAAGTTATGATTTGTCCAATTAACTGATTTCATTAAGCACTTTGTTCATTCAAAGTTTGAAGTCGAAAGTCGATTTTCCACGTGGCTTGAGAAGGATCATATCTTTTTGTTAAAAAAGTCAGTACAATTTCGATATTCCGAGAATGAAGATCTGGAAAACTAAACCATTCTAGACTTTTCTATTACTGATCAAATGAACATCGTCTCGGTCGAAAAGCGATTTGATATCTGGAAAAGTTCCCTCGTAAGATATCAGGGTGGTGAGATACGTTTTGCCAATAATGTATCTCTTCATTGACGTCAGTAGTGTTAGTTCAATACAATATTTATTTGACAGTTTTCTTATAAATAAAAACTTTGACGAGTCTTCTATCACGGAGAAAAAAATCAGCCTGCTTCATTAAAGCAGACTGGAGATATGGAAATTTCTTTATCGTGTAGCTATTTATGGGCGACTCTGTATATACATTTTCTTTTTCATATATATTTTAATTTCATTATTACAATACTAGGCGGAAAAAGAAAAAGAGAAGGGTAATGAAGCATACAAAAAAAAGATTTTGAAATAGCATTAAATCATTATAATAAAGCAACTGAACTTGATTCAAAAAATATAACCTATTATATAGATAGAGCTGGTTGGAGTTGAACGGGTTTTTTTTGTTGTTCTTATATATTCCATTATATTTTCTAGCTGTTTATTTTGTACAAAAACAATGGGATGATTGTCTAAAAGAATGTGAAAAAGCTATAGATATTGGACGTGAAAATAAAGTTGATCATGAATTAATTGCTAAGTCTGAATATAAAGCAAAAAAGATATTTTTGTAATTTTTCTTTCATAGAACTTATACCTGTATGGGAAATGTGACAGTACTAGAAAAAAATTATGAAGATGCTATTAAACATTTTAATCGTTCGCTCTCTGAACGTTGAAATCCAGATATATTAAAGAGAAAACAAGAAATTGAAAAAATACTTGAAGAACAAGAAAAATTAGCTTACGTTAATCCTGAATTAGTTGAATAAGAAAAAACAAAAGGAAATAAATTTTTTCAAAAAGCTGATTATCCAAATGCACTTAAACATGATACGTAAATTATATTGTTTAATTCTTTTTTGTTTTTTTGAAATAAATTTTTAAATAATTCGTGTTTTTTCAATAGTGGAGCTATTAAATGAAATCCATCTGATGCAAAACTTTATTCGACTCGAGCAGCTTATTATACAAAATTAATAGAATTTCGATTAGCATTAAAAGATAGTGAAGGAGGAATTAAAATCGATCCAACATTTAGTAAGTTTTAAAAGAAAACGGATCTAATTAAATTATTTGATCTTTTAATTAAATGTTATCTTCGTAAGGGTCATACTTTAATGGCAATGAAGGATTTAGGTCAAGCAATGGCTACATTTGGTAAAGCTCGTGAAATCGATCCAAATTATCAAGTAAAACAAAAGCACAATTTATTTAGATCAATATGTTACTGTTCGAAAAGCATGTGATCAAATAGAGAGGGAATGAGAGTCTCCGAGATATCACTAACTATTACCAACGCAGCGGAAGAGTAAGGCCTAGAGGTATGCGAGATCAGATTTCTTTGATCTCAGCTTCTGCTATGGTCTCGGTAAATTTAATCTATTCCCGGTCCCGATATAGAGAAAACTATTCCAGAACTTATTCTTATCACATCTAAAAATATCTTCAATACTCATGTTTTGATTTATTTAATCGATGATTAGCGCTCTTTTTGGATCGTCTCTCTTAAATTATGTTCTGGTTTATATGATTTACCAGATAATTCGCTAAAACAAAAGAAAATTCAACTATAATCTTTAGCTTCAGTCACAGCAATTTTTTTCTTGTACTCCTGCTTCTGGTCTCAGTAACTTCTTTCTCCGTGATCTCACACATCACTAGTAAGGTCAGTGATCAACACTATATGTTAACGACGACGAAAAATGAGATATGTCTTTAAAAAAAAACTGACCATTTTTAACCTTTTACTCCTCATTGAGTTATTTTTGACCCATTTGTAGAATGATCGCAGAAAATAAAGAAAGCAAGAAACGGAAAAACTCGCAAGACATTATTTGTAGGGAGCTAGAAAAGCTATCGATTAGTAAAAAAAATATTTTGTTTCATTGCTCTACCTTCGAGATATATAATTTACAAAATCGATAATTTTGAAAAAATGCAAAAATTCGAAATTTTTTTAAATCAAATGTTCTCCACTTGCTGTCAATAAAGACTTTTGGAGTTTCTGTGTGACATTAATCGATGAAGAAGTCCACTGCTGAGTTAGATGTGTTTCGAAAGCTTCATTATAGATCCGTGAATTATACATACTAAGGAACACAATCGACCGTGTAGTCATTCTTAGACAGATGGAGGGTAATCAAGAACAAAGTTAATATATGCGTTATAAACTTCAACTCATGAGAAGTCGAAATAGTATTTATAATGAATTAAATTCCTTCGGACATTATAAAATGGCTCAGAGTCAAATAGGTGTGGGTGTTGGTGGGGTGTTGGTGGGCGTGGGTGTAGGTGCGGGTGGGTGTGGGTGTGCCAGGATCTCTATAATTGAATCCACACCACCCACACCCATCCACATTCGCACACATCCACACCCTCAAGTTAAACATGGAACATTCATGTTCTTAACTGAATAAATTAGCTAATGAAATTCTTATGATTATTTTCAAATATCTGCACCATTATGATATACTTTATTCTTTCATCAATATTAATAAATGATTTGATTTAATTATCAATGATACAATTATTGGAAAAAAATTAACATTAACATCTTTTAATGATTCATCATGTCCATTTACTAATAAAATATTTGATCGCATTTGTGAAATTATACCTAAAATTTTTGATAATATTCAATGGACTAATCTGCAATCATCAATTACAGAACATACTCATCTTTTAACAAAGTATTCGGAGTTAAAGGCACTTGTTTTATATCTCACATCACAAACAGCAATTCATTTATTTGCTGGTAAGATATTATCTTCTATTCCATCATAATCTATTAGAGGATTAAATGAAAATCATTTAAAATTGGTTTGATAAAGAACACAAAATAAAATATTTCATCTTATTAAACAAAATAAAAAATAAATAATTTAATAAAAAATTTTAATGTTTATTCGTTTTTTTAGATACAAGTTTTTTATTTGAACGCTTTGGACAACAAATTGAAACGCTTATTATAAACACAAAATCAATTATACGACAAATAGATTCGTTTGATTTATCTGGTGTCGACAAAATATTAGAAGACAGAAAAGTATTTCAATTTTTATTTAAACAATGTTGTACAATATTCAAGAATTTAAGATATTTCAATTTTGGTTCATTTGTTGATCATCAACAGGTAATTATAATTTTATTCCGTAGAATGAACTTATCAATTTAAAATATTTTTTCATTACCTATAAAAAGAATTTATTGGACTACTACGATAATGGTCTTCCACTTTTACGTCCAATGACAAATTTAAAGAACTTGGTTTACAATGTTTAAATGTTAGTAATCCAATTATTGATGGATGTGGATGTGGGATATGAGTGGGATGTGGGCGTGGAATAAGAATACATCCACACCCACACCCATATCCACACTCCACCCACACCCATACCCTCACCCACACCCCATACCCACATTCACACCCTATATCTTCTTTCTTTCTTTGTTTTCTTGTCGTAATCAGCTGACTATATATATGTATGTCTTTTGTTCCTTTTCTCTTGTTACCTTTCCTGATGATGGTGAAAGCATTTCACCGAAAGCTCGAATAAATAAAAATAACCATCGAATTTTGCTAAAAATCCTCATGTACTTCGTAGCAGTCATTTACTCATTTCTCTCTTCATATACATATATATATATATATGTATATTTACAGATACAATCGCTCGTGTGACACTCATTTTAAATTTCTCACTCTCTAATCATTATTGTGATGACAATGTACGAAGTTGAAGAAATTGAAGAACATTTTGCACCTATATCAGGTGTTGATACGGGTTCGATTTCGGAAAAATCCGATTTCGATGACGATTCATGTATTGAAATTATTTCCAATATCGATGAGAATGAAAATGAATCAGTTAAATTGGCAAATTATCTGCAACTGAATTCGGATAGCGACGAAGACATTGATCAAGATTATTCATCGACTCCATCTGCTACACTTGTTGATTATTTATCATCAGAAGTATCCAGTGACAATGGAAATATCTCACAATCGTTTGATCAACTGGCCACTTCTAACAAACAATGCAATATCGATCCTATGTTTACTTCATTATCAACCATCGTCAAGAAGCGGAAACGTCGTCAATGGACTGTGGCCGAAAAATTACATGCAGTCACTTGTTTCGAACAAAACAACAACAAACACAAAACGGCCCAACAAATTGGGTGTGCAACAGAACAACTTCACATGTGGATTAAGAACAAAAATGAATTAGTTGCATTGCCATCTCGAAAAAAAGGTGAGTAAACAATTTTTTGTAGCAATGTAGGCTGCAGCTCAAGTTCTAACTTTATTTTATTTAGGCAATAAACGCAAGCATCTCGACAGAGGTGGTAAGAAATTAACATACGTCGGTCTGGACTCCCGTTTATTCACTTGGTATCGTGAAAAACGTACTGATCCTGCATCAACAACAAATGCTTCTGATGCAGGGGAAGAACGTCGTCGCGATATTCTAAACAGTTGTCAGGCATGAAGTTATTAACATCTCTACGATTGAATTAATTAGAAAATATACTTTGTTTTACCATTTTTATCATATGCAGTTGTAGCCATTGAAAATGATTCGAGAGCAAGAGAAAAAGCGAATAATTATGGTGAAATGACTTATTTTATCTTTAGTGACTTCGTATATGTATACGTATGTATAGTCAAAGAAACACATTGCTTGGGGAAAAAAAAGATGAAGTTAATCCTTTCAATCCCGACATTTTCTTGCGTTTTGTACGAACATAAAAAAAGATAGTTTAATCTCTCTCTTGCGTTCAGTTATCATAATCATGTGTTCGAAATCTAGATTCATTATTCATAGCTATATAAGTGATTTTCCTTTGTTCAGCGTCTAAGAAGATGAAAGAACGCAAAATATTTCTTTTTCATTCTGCATGTCATCTCGTAGATGACATAAGGGACTGAAAGAGTTAATCAAGCATCGAACATTGAATTGAATCCGTTTTCTTTGTTCCTTTTGTCAGCACGATCTACAAAACCAGTCTTCTTTCTTTTATCTTCAATGGCCAGTTTTTCTTTGTTCATTGAAACTGTTCATTCTCTCTTCCTACAAACACGAAGGTAACCTACACTAATGCTGAATAATCCATGTATCCATTTTTTAATTTTCAACGCGTCCCCGAGCGTTTGTCAGCAATGTAATTTCACGCGTCTGGATGCATCCAAAATGTAACATTTTCGGGTGTTCTAACACGATACCAGTTTGAAACACAGACAAACACGTTTAAGTTTGTGCCACGTTTGGATGTGCCTAAAATGCAGCATTTTTGGATGTCCTAACGCCTCCTAATAGAGAAACGCATCCTGACGTTGTTTATTGTTAGACACGTCGAAACGCGTTTTAGGATATCCAAAATTTGTTAAATTTTAAAAAATTGTGCTCTATATCATAGTATCGATCCATTTTCATCGCTACATTATATTTTTATTTCAATTTAACACATTATTAAGTTATTGAATAGAATGCAACAAACGAGATCCGATCATGATGCCTACAGAATGAAAGACATTGAACTTACCACGAAGCTATAAATTCTCGTACAGTCTTATCTGTTATTATCATGTGACTTTTTATAGAGAAAAAGATCAATTTATAGCAATTGCTTCATTAAATTATATAAACTTTGAAATATTTTCATTTTTTTAATTTATCAGTGTCACTTAATATTGCATACATGACATCGGTTACATACGATTAACTTTATAAAAACAATAATTATAGTTTTTGGATCACAGAATACGAGAAAAACGGTTTTCTTCGATAATTAATTGCTTATTCAATAAATGCTCAATGGATGCAGCATCTTAACTTTTTTGTCTTTTTAAAGTAAAAAGGAATTAATTTAAATTTTAAATTCCAATTAAGTAATCATTTTTTCTTTTTCTTTTTTACTTTGAATGAAATTTTTAATCATAGCGAGGTGAAGATAAATTTTATAGAATTTACTTTTCAAAAAAATAGTGGAAATTGAAGAAAGTAAATTTAAAGAATTGTATATTTTGTAGACGATTATATGTATTTTGTTTCTTCTGTCACATATGACTCTTTAGTGTAAGAATTCGTATACGAAGAAGCAGAAAAAATTTTAGACTTTAGCACAAACATTAAATGTATTGTAAATGCGTTCATAACTAACCCAGATAAAATATTTGTTGCACATGGATGCATCTAAACGCCCAATGGCAATAGTGCCTGAATGCACATTTTATGTTCTGACTGCATTTAGACGCTATTGTAAGTTGTTTTTAGCCACATTCAGACGCAATTCTGTTTCAAGTTGTGTTTGAAAGCAACTCTACCATTGTGTCTGAGCTACATCCAGATTCATTCGTTTCTTCTACTTCTTATCTGTTTGTATCTCTAATAGGTTTACATGAAAACTAACTTTGAACTTCATGTTTGAGTTAAAATGGACATTTTTGCTTAACACTTAAATTTTATTTATTTTGAAATTTAAATTGCTACGCTTAACATATGTGTTATACAAGAGCAAAATTGATTTCGCGAAAAAAAAGTGCTGGTAGTGACATGTAGCAAAATAATATTATTGTAATACCGTTTTCGAATGAATGTCCTATACATTTCAAAATTTGATACGTATACTCATTTGTTTCTATTTCACAGATTAACTAAGTCTTCATGGCTTTATATGCTGAACACAAATATGATGAGATTTCTCGTATCCAACTATTTGTGTTTATATTCTGTTTCATGCAATGCTAGCCACTTATATTTGAAACTGCAGATTATCAAGAAGAGTCCTCTTTAAGAATTCGAAACGCAGTAAGATTTAAATACGTCATCTATATAATTAACTATATATTTTTTATGCTTTTTTAAATAAAAAATACGTAGTTCAGTTTACTGTTCGAGATCTAGTCACGCGTACTGTGACGAAGTAATCTGCGTTATTGATAGCACTATGTGAATTTGCAGCTAAAAACGCGTTCAGATGCATCTTGTCTATGCAAAACAGAAAAAGAAACTACATTTACATGCACGATTGGAACTCAAAAGCATTAGTTGCATATAGGGAAAGCGCGTTCGGATGCAAAAATAAAAGCAATTGCATTCAAACGCGTCTAAGTTAATATTATTTCCAGGTATGAACGCATTTCGATGCAAAAATTATACTGTTCGCGTTGAAACGCGTTTAAAAACTACTGTAAATCAGTTGTGATGCGTTTTAGTCACGAAACGCATCTGAACGCATGCAAGACTTTGCAACGCGTTCAAACACCCCTATGATGAACGCATTTCAATGTGTTTGGAGGCTGTTTCAATTCCAGACGCGTTTAAACGCGTCAAAACTGCGTTTTATGATTACATGGGAACAAGTTGCTGTTTTTCCAGTCATGTTCTCCTTGAAGAAAAATGCATTGAACAATAGCAAATGCGTTCATTTGTCGTCATTCGTTTCTCGTCTATTTTTCTTCTCATTCCTCTTTGACTTTTCTATGCAGTCATCTATCTATTTTCTTTTTCTTTCAGTTACTCATTAGTCATATGTGTGACATTGTTTATCGAATAAAGTGGCTCCAGATATAGATCTGTCATCACCGTTCATATCAGACCAGTGGCATAAACCAATTAATCGAATTAAACTATAATCAAGGTATTTTATTTTCATATACCGTATAGTCACCATTTGCTTTTGTCAAGCACTGTGCTCGTCTTTTGACTTATTGTATCCTTCATCATCGACCAAACGTTTTCAATTGTATTTTGATCTGATGATGAAGAGAACCAAGATAGAATCTGAATTCAATTGTCGGGATCTTCGTTTCGGATCATTGTCCTCTTAGAGAATCCAGCTAGCTGGACCTTCAGAAAATAGACGATGAACAATAGGTAGAAGATGATTCTCATATATGCTGCGTATAAAATCTCCTGTCAAATTGTGTTTGAAAATAATGAATTGTTCAAAACTTTGTTTTGCAATACATACGCTGCCGTGCAACTTGAGAGGGTCTTTAACTGTACGGACAGTTTTGGTGACACCTGGAAACTGCCAAACTTCTCTTCTGCTATCGTCAAGTTTGAATGTCTTCTCATTGGTAAAAGTCATGTTATTTCAATTGAAATTTTGATGCTGTCGAATCCAGATGAGTTGTCACTCGCAATGTTTGTGCGTGAGTAAGAGCTTTTTGAAAGGTGGCCCATAACTTTCATCGCTTTCATGTAATCGACGTCAAACAGTACTTGGATCGATCTCCAAGCCATTTTTTGTTAGGATTTTGGAAACGTCACTTGATGTAACGTTCAACTCATGTTTGACAATATTAACAATCTTTGCATCTGGTTTCTTCGACGTGATACATAGTCAACCAGTTCTTGGTAAATTAGACAGATCTTCATTTTGTTACCGTTTGGCAAGCCAATGCCGTACGACTTTTGGGTCACATTCAATGTGCTTCGAAATGACTTTATTTAACATTTTAGGGCTTAGTAGATGGAACTTGAGAAACAAAATTTCATAGCGTTGTGATAGAGACAGATACATGCTTAAAATCTTATTTTTGACATCGATCTACATTTTATACATTAACAATTGTTACATAAGATTTAGTCATTTGAATCCACAAATAAAAACATTAGGAATCAGAAAAACTATTGTCTAGAGTTGTATTTATGTTTTATGTTAAACAAATATTAAAAGCTGTAAAAAGAAAGGAAGAGGTCGAAAGACTCGCTCGAGGGTTTATAGAAAAAATTTCAGAACTTTCGGACATCATATCTCCAAGATATTAAGTTCACAAAATTTTGCTACTTTTTCATAAAAACATACATTGTCGAAAACTAAACATGGGATTTCGTAGTCTAGTGATCCTTTAATTAGTTCACAAAAAATAAGGTCGAAAGCTTTTTAAAACCTTACGAAGTTCTCTCGTTAGAAGAAGAGATCAACATTATTGACAAAAGAAAATAGAATCGAATACAAAATATTCTAACTAATAAAATAAATACATCAAAAAAATACTTTTCTTTTCTTCAGATTGTTAAACAAATAATTCAAAAAACTATTTTTAATAAAAACAAATGTTTTTCCCCAATCAAGCATGAAGCCATAATTCCCATCATACTTTTTTCTAAACTATCGCTACTTTTTTTCTGCATATTTCTATATTTTATTGTTATTTTAAAACCTACATAAACAATCTAAAGATGCTGGTAGATATCAAAATATTAAATTGTGCTAATGAAAGAAAATAAAAACAAAGTTAATGAATACATATGTTAATCATAACACGAACACGAAGCTTATAACTGAAAATAGAATAAAATACAAAATGAAAATAAAAAACAATGTAGTTAAATAAAATAGATAGATTAGCATATCCAAAACCTTTTTTTTAAATTAAAAATCAGTGTTAATAAAAAAAAATGTTTTTCTTTTTATATTAAAAAACATACTAAAGTCTATTAACATACAACAAAAGTAAAAATTATAGATTTTTTCTTATAAGAATATGAAAATAAACGTCTTCTATCGGTTTGTTATTTCAATCTGAAGTAGTTATATTTTCAGCAGTTACGGATATTGTCTTCTTTAAATTTGTTGTTTAGGATGAACTTGTTTCTTTTGAACTTACTTTATTGCCACCAGCACCAGTTGATGAAGTTTTCGTTGCAAGGGCTGAAGGGACTCGAGCTAGTGTTGCTGTATTCGAACGAGATACTGGTGTCTACAAATACCATTCGATTTATAAACATATGTAGATAAATCAAAAATTTTGTTACACATTGTTCATATTAAAAACTACTAAACTTACATTTTGTACAGCTTGACTATGATCACCACTGCTTGATTTACTTTTGAGTAAGAATGCATTAATATGAGGCAATACACCACCTAATAAAATAAAATAAAAACTTTAACTTTGTTGTAAATTTATTTTTATTTACCTTGTGGAATTGTTACACCATGAAGTAGCTAATAAAAATCAATTAAAAAAGAAAATCTTTTTGTATTAATAGTATAGTCAAAAGAAAGAAACATATACTTTCTTAAGTTCTTCGTCAATGCTAACAGCCAAAAATATATGTCGTGCATTAATACGTTGTTTTTTATGATCTTTAGCTGCATTACCAGATAATTCAAGAACTTCAGCCGTTAAATATTCGACCTAATATTACAGGAATATATGAATTAAATCAAAGAATTTTTCGTAAAATATTCTACATACTACAGCAGCTGTATAAACTGCAGCAGCCATAGTTACACGACTTTTTGGTGTTGATTTTTTTATATAGCGATGAAAACGTGGTACCGAAAAGAGCACACCTTTAAAAATATAAATAGATTACGAAAAACATTTATTCGAATCTACCTGCACGAACTGATTTTGATTTTCGTTCACCACCTTTACGAACAGTTCGTCCTGTAGTTGTTGAAGAAGTCATACCTTTATATATTATTTATAAAATTTTGTTTCTGATAATAATCTATAATAAACTAGAAATATAAAAACTAAAATACAATTTTGTTTGTTCAATAGAGACTCTCTGTACATATTAAGTAGACATTAATCATCAGATGAAAGCCTTTTAAAACGTGAGTGTTCATTGACATGTGTATGTGTACTTACTTCCTTGCGGTATTCAACATAGGCAAATATGTGTATGCAATCAGCGGCATACAAAACAAAAAAAGGAAAGTAAAAAAAAGAAAATAGCAAGTTGTGTTATGTGATTAGTAAAAAAAAAGCCAGAAATTTTTTTTTTGTACGACAAAAATATTCAGAACAGAAAAAAGCAAGTAATATTGATTACCAACATACCTATGTGATTCAATGAATTGAACCAATGCCTCCGTTAAAAAATGCCTTTCCTTTAGGCCATATTGGTTTTAGCGCTACTAGCGCTGCTATTTTACATTACTAAGATATATCTTGAATACTTTTGCAAAGTGACAAAAAAGCAGCAATAAAATATTTTGAACTTGGAAATATCATAAAAGTACATCATAAAAAATTGATCTCTTTTAGCTAATAATAATTAAACATAATACAAGTTATCATTTCATTTTGGAAGGAAACTTTTGTCTTCAATAATATAATGAACAAGTATAATAAATTCATAATTAAAGAATAGCTGTAAAATAACCATTAGAAGACTTTTCGTTTTATGAAAAAGCTTATGCACTATCTTTTTTTAATCTTCTCGTGTGTATTTTGGAATGACAATTTTTTATTAATCTAATGCAAATCGTATCTATATATATATAATCGCATCTTAGTTAACATTCATACTTTAATTCTTATTCTATTTCGATGGAAAAACATTAATGAAGTTATCTTTTTAATATCTGATACTCTTCTCATATTAAATGTATTAGACTGACCTAATCGTTATTTCAAATACGGAAATATTAATCGAATATATTTTTTGACAGTATATTAAATCTACGTAATAAATTAACTGATAAACTCTTTTTACAATAACGTAAAACATGTTTATGTTCGTAAGTCATATCTTTTTTTGTTTACGATTTCTATCAAATAATGAACTATAAGCCCTCATTGTTCTTATTATATTTCGTCATTCAAAAATTTCTAATTCTGTCAATACTTTTCTATCGCATTAATGATAGAAATAACTTGATGAAAAATAAATATATGATTTTTATTTTTATACATTATACTCTATTCATTTTTTATGAAGACTTTTATTTTACATAAAGAAATTCTCTAATCCAGAGATTGAACAAATCTAACCTTATTACTATAGCTTATCGACTATATGACAACGCAAAAGGTTTTTTTTTCAAGATTATCTATCACTAACAAGCATAAAACAAATTCCATATCATTTAGGATTTTAAAAAACAACGACAATGTCGAAACAAGATTTAGTTTATTAATACAAGACTATTATTACAAATCTGTGTAGATGAAAAAGATTAAATAACAGAAACAGACAGTCGGAAATAGAAAATTAATTATAAAACATTTGATGCTTTGAACTCTTGAATAACATTATTATTAAAAAGATAAAAGAACATCAGTATTCATATACTTGCTGTCAAATTACTTTATAGAAATGTCTTCTAACATTGTCGATTCACTCAGACTTGCTACTAATCAATGTAATATCTATGGTGGTTTCTTTGTATTTTTCACTGGTATGATTGGTAATATATTAAATGTTATTATATTTACATCATTAAAGACATTTCGAGAGACTTCAGCTGCTTTCTATATGAATGTTACATCAGCTGTCAACATTTTTCAACTTGTTGTTGGTTTATTATCTCGTATTCTTATAACTGGTTATGATATTGATCCAACAAAAACTTCATCAGTTTTATGTAAAGCCCGACAATTTACATTGGTTACAACTATGTTGATTATTTTTTCTTGTATGTGTTTTGCAGCAATTGATCAATTTTTATTATTAACAAATCGTTGGCGTCATCTTTGTAGTCTTCAAGTAGCTAGTCGTCTTGTTATAGTTGCTTTCATTGTATGGTTTTTACATGGAATTCCAATATTTATCTTTCTTGATCTTTATCCATCACTT